AAATGCCCATTTGCTGTTGTAATAACTACTACAGTGTCTTCTATTCTGTACAAGATATTTGGCCTTCAATACAAATTTTTACAACACACAAGGCAAGAGAACCCACTGTCAAGAGAGAAATGGAATCAGATCCAAATGACCCGAAAAAAACTAGAATCTGCTACTGGTAAACAGAAGCTATATGCTTGTGCACAGAGAGTTGGGAGAGGACCAGATGACTCTCTACTCTGTCTCATATCTTGATTTAAAAACAAAACAAGAAAACAACCTAGCCATAAAAAATTCGTACATGGGGGGGAGGGAAGGCGGGGAGGATGGGGAGCGGGGGAAGGATGGAAGGGGATGGGAAGGGGAAACAAAGGAGGAGGCTACAATGCTTGATAAGAAATGTACTCATTATCTTGCCCTTGTGATTGAAGCCCCTCTGTACAGTATTTTCACACACACAAAAAAAATTAGTATATGAGTCAGGCGCCAGTGGCTCATACCTGTAATCCTAGCTACTCAGGAGGATAAGATCTGAGGATCACGGTTCAAAGCCAGCCTGGGCAGGAAAGTCCGTGAAACTCTTATCTCAAATAAACCACCAGAAAACCGGAAGTGGCTCTGTAGCTCAATTGATAGATTGCTCACCTTGAGCTACACTGGGTGCCAGTGGCTCACACCTGTAATCCTAGGTACTCAGGAGGCTGAGATCTGAGGATTGTGGTTCAAAGCCCAGGCCCAGAGATCAAGCCCCACGACCAACAAAAAATAAATAAACATTACAACTAAAATTATGAACACTGATTCTAGACAAGATGACTCTCAACATGCCTGCCCATTGGCAGGCATGAAAAAACGTCTGCTTCTAAATTTTTGTAGCTCTTTAAAATGTACATAATGCTTGTCCTATGCATTTTAGGTTAATAAAAAGTATCTCTAAAATTGTACAGAAATAAAATTTGAGAACCTAAACAATTTCCAACAGAATACACAAAAGACTATAAAGACAAAATAATCCGAAAATAATTACTATTCCCAATAAACAAATACTTGCACAAATCAAAAAGGAAAAGACAGCCCAACAGAAAAGAAGGCAGAAAACATATACTAGGAATACATTATAGAAACAGAAAACTGCTAGTTTCCAAGAAAACTGGGTACTTCACTCATTGCTGGGTACAGACGTAAATCAGTACAAACAGGACTCCTCAAACTTCTCAACAAAATCCAGTCCAGGCAGCATTCACACCCAAAGAAAGCCTTTTTTAGTTCATTTATGCCAGTTGCCTATTCATCCTCTATGTAAGCCAAATCAGACAAATGGTTTTTACATATACATTATCATTCACCTTCATGCTTCAGTAGCACTAAAATAACATTCTCCTAATTATCCTGCAAGATTCCTTCAAGACTCAGCTCAAATACTCCTTACCCTACTCTCTCCCTCAGAGAGAATAAACTGAGCTTTCATCTATGATCACATAGCAAGCACTTGGTCCATATCTCTAACAAGACAATTAAAACACTAAAGTGAATTTATAGTATATATCTGTGCTATTTTTAAAATATGAACAGCTCCTCCTCATCAACAAAAAATAAGACATAAACAGAAATGTCACAGGAAAGAAAACATAAAACATTGTTAAACAGAACCTATGAAGAAATATAAATAAAAATGGAAGTCAGGCACCGGTGGCTCATGCCTGTAATCCTAGCTACTCAGGAGGCTGAGATCTGAGGATTGTGGTTCAAGGCCAGCCCGGGCAACAAAGTGTGGGACTCTTATCTCCAATTAACCTCCAGAAAACCGGAAGAGGCACTGTAGCTTAATTGGTAGAATGCTTGCCTTGAGCTGAGGAACAATGCCCAGGCCCAGAGTTCAAGCCCCACAACCAGGAAAAAATAAAAATAAAAATGGAAAAAATAGCCAGGCACTGGGTGGCTCACACCTGTAACCCTAACTACTCCAGAGGCCAAGATCTGAGGATCCAGCCCAGGCAGGAAAGTCCATGAGACCCTTATCTCCAGTTAACCTCCAGAAAACCAGAAGTGGAGTTGTAGATCAAGTAGTGAGCACTAGCACTGAGCAAAAAAAAAGCTCAAGAACAGCACTCAGGCCCTGAGTTCAAGCCCCACGATGGACCAAAAAAAAATAAAGAAGAATATACATTAAATTCATAATAAGCCTATGTATTATTTTACAAACTGACAAAGATTTCAACTATGCTAAATAGGAAAAAAATACACATTCCAATAAAACTTGCTGCTAAGGATATAAGTTGGCCACATAACTAGAAGACAATTTGGTAGTACCTATCAAGATTATAAATACACACATCCACATCTTTTGTCCCAACAATTGTATTGCTCAGAGCTTGTGCTATAAATACTTCCATTATATTTGGACAAGATACATAACCATTCACTGCAGGATCATTTAATAGCAAAAGTTTGAAAAAATAAATGTGAATCCATAGGGGAATAGTTATATAAATTGTAGTATATTCACACAAACATTATACAGTTAAAATGATTAGACAGCTTCATATGAAATTATTTCCAAGATATATTGTTAAAAGCAAATGAGATGCAAAACAGGGGGTATAGTACACATAAGAAAATAACGTGTTCATATAAATGCACACATCATTGTAACTGAATGTCTAAGGGATAGACCAGAAAAAATCACCTACTTTTTATTCCATAATCTTTACAGTTCTTTAACTGCTTTCTATTAGTATTTACCTGTTCACTGTTACTCCTTCATCTTAAATATTTTTTTCAAATAAAAGAAACAATTATTTATGCTATAATTCCCTTCATAAAAATGAACAAACTTGCAGCCTGCCTGACCCATGTAGGGTAGACCTGAACAAAATACATCAAATAAGAGAATACTGCGACTAAGTTTATAGCATAACAATATATTGAGTGGGCTGGGAAGGTCGTTCAGTGGTAGAGTGCATGCCTTGCATTCATGAGGCCATGGGTTCGATTTATCAGCACCACATAAGCAGAAAAAGATGGAAGTGGCACTGTGGCTCAAGTGGTAGGGTGCTAACCTTGAGCTGAAGAGGTGAGGGACAGCACCCAGGCCCAGAGTTCAGGCCCCACAACTGACCAAAAAAAAAAAAAAGACTATATTGAGCAAGCCAAGCACTGTTCATTCATGCTTGTAATCCTAGATACTCTGATGGCTGAGATCCCTGGATGGTGGTTCAAAGCTAGACTGGGCAGGAAAGTTCCTGAGACTCTTACCTCCAATTAATCACCAAAAAGCCAGAAGTGGTAGAGTATTAGCCTTGAGCAAAAGCTCAAGTGGTAGAGTATTAGCCTTGAGCAAAAGAGCTCAGAATAGTACCCAGGCTCTGAGCACGCATGTGCGTGTACAAGCAAGCAAGCAAGCAAACACACACATAAACACACACACACATACACACACACAGAGCAACTAGGAATTTACAGTTTTACCAGAAACTTTTCATAGTTCAGTTCTCATTTTAGATACTTCATTCTATTAAACTTCACCATAAAGTAAGTTTTCATAAATCAAATCCTATTTTCTTTTCAGACTCTATGTTCCAAATTTACCAATTCTATTATACTACAATGTCATAAAAAATAACTCTGGTTAGACAACTTGGATAAATTCCTCCCTCCACACATTTGAGTCATCTGGCCCCAGATATACTAGTGGATCTTTGGGCTTCCATTCCTCCACCTGTGAAATGTTCATCCAAGTATCTGTACTTCATAGAGCTGTTGTAAATATTAAATGAATACATACGTGCTTTATTTGCATCTACACATAAAGTTTAATTACTAATATTCTATAGCTTCTCAGCATCTCTGAACCTCTTCTTTAACCATTAAAAACAGTGACATTAAGGAAGGCAAATTCAGAAAAGGTAAATAACTATTATCTATGTCTATACTTTATTCACATCTGTGTCATTTGTGAAAAGAAACAATTAGTGCTATGTCCTATAACCAGAAGACAAGCGGGAGAGTCTAACCAACCTGTGCCTTAGTCCCTTCCTCAGCAGAGAGCAAAGCATTGTGCTATAAGGCTCTCACACCATTATTCAGCTTAACAAGATGGCAGTATCAGAGGAGAAAAAGATGGAGTTTTTGCTCTTGGAAATCAAAACACTGGGAGAATAAATTTTATTCCTTTAGATTTCTACATGTTCAAACCCTACATAACACAATATCAATTACATAGATATAATGAATATCTGTACTGGTAATCAAATAACTAACTTAAAAACCACCTAAGAGGAAAGAATGTAAAGAGTAGAAAAAATGTCTGTCTGTCTGTCTCTCTCTCTCTCTCTCACACACACACACACCACAATACTCTAATTAAAATTTATTAAATAGAACAGTAGATTCTGTTCTAAAAAGGCAGTATTTTAAAAGGCTAGATTCTAGAACTAAAGACCTTGAGTTCAAATCCTTGTTCCAACATATACTGTCTCTCTGACCTTGGGCCTTGATTTTCTTATCTATAACATGAGTAAAATCACAATATCTTCCTCATAAGCTGATGTAGGAACTACATTAGTTAATAAATGTCAGTGCTCAATAAATGCTAAGTATTATTATAAGAACTCATCTTTCCAGCAAAGCTTTCCACCAAAGCTATAAGGCCAAAGAAGCAGAGATGATAAATTTTTACAATATAGGCTCTTGTAAATCTTTAAGGAACTAGCCAAGTTTTTTAATCAAAAATTTAAATAAGGGCTGGGAAAGTGGCTCAGTGGTAGAGCACTTGCCTTGCATGCTTGAGGCCCTTGGTTCCATTCCTCAGCACCACATAAGAAAAAAAGAAAAAAGCCGGAAGTGGCGCTGTGGCTCAAGTGGTAGAGCGCTAGCCTTGAGCTGAAGAGCTGAGGGACAGTGCCCAGGCCCAGAGTTCAGGCCCCACGACCGGACCCCCCCCAAAAAAAAAATTTTAAATAATAGTAAATAAAATAACTTAAGCACAAACAAACAAAAAAAGCAATACTTACCTTGTAGCAGGAACTGCAGCAGCCAAATGTCTGTTGGGAACCAGAACATTTACAGAACCAGGATAGAGAGATATTTGATAAACCATCTTGGAAAAGCTATGCCTTTGATGATGCAGCCAGACTTGAAAGGAAAAATATTAAACATTAATATTAAATAATCATCACATTTGTAATTATTTACCTTCCAAAACGAAAACACTTAATATTTTGTGACTCTTAACCATTCTTTAAAAAGTGCAATAATGGGGACAGGGATGTAGATTAGTTAGAGCACTTGCCTAGCATGTTCAAGGCCCAGGGTTCTATCAACAGTACTACCACTAAAAAAAACAAAAACAAAAACAAAAAAACAGTATACAATGGAAACTACACATCTAGAAACATATCCAAAATTTGAATATATTTTTTCTCTTACTTTTAACTTAATCTAGTCCGGGCTCAAGGGAGTATTATCAAGAAATGTGTGTACGTATGTTTTAAAATAATTTGTTTTATTGATTCATGTGTTTAACAAATAATATATTCACAGGATTTTTCAAGTTCTTCTGAATATCCAAGTAAGGAGTTTGTCCTATTACAGAACAAGACAACTATAAGGCCCCAACATGTTGATTCACAATTGCAATCCTAGCTGCTTGAGAGGTAGAGATCAGAGGGATCATGCCTTGAGGTCAGAATAGGCAAAGAGTTATCAAGATAGCAGCTTAACAAATAAGAAAGACATTGAACCAGAGCAACAGGTAAGGGTATCTCAGTCCAAGGCTGGCCCTCAGCAAAATGTAAGATGCACTGGGCACCTGTGGCTCATGCCTACAATCCTAGCTACTCAGAAGGCTAAGATCCAGCCCAGGCAGGAAAGACCATGAGACACTTATCTCCAATAAACCACTCAGAAAATGGAAAGTGGAACTGTGGCTGAAGTAGTGAGTGCTCACCTTGAGCTGAAGAGCTGGGGGACAGCATTAAGGCCCAGAGTTCAAGCCCCATGACCAACAACAACAACAACAACAAAAAGATGCTGTCAAAAAAACAACTAAAAGGGGCTGGGAAGGTGGCTCAGTGGTAGAGTGCTTGCCTTGCATGCATGAGGCCCTGGGTTCGATTCCTCAGCACCACATAAGCAGAAAAAGCTGGAAGTGGTGCTGTGGCTCAAGTGGTAGAGCGCTAGCCTTGAGCTGAAGAGCTGAGGGACAGCGCCCAGGCCCAGAGTTCAGGCACCATGACTGGCAAAAAAAACAAACAACTAAAGAAAGAAAATGAATGGGGTCACAGATCAAATGATTGAGCTCCTTTTAATAACTCCAAGGCCCTAAGATCATACACCAATATAGCCAAAAAATGAAACAGGACTTATTCTACAGCTATACTTTACAAAGCTGAACTATAAAGTTTACTGAAGTATAAACTCAGACATTTATCTGGTAAACAAGTATAAAAAGACTTAAACAACAAATGATTGAACAACAGATCCATATACACATGGATACTTGAAACAAGAAAGTGATGCTTCTGTGAATCACTGTGTAAAGAGTTCAGTGAGCTGTTTGAAGACAAATGATTACCCATTGGGAAAAAGTATTTTCAGATCTTCTATATAAACATCACACTTAGACAACTTAATGATTGTAAATGACAAAACCTACACTTTCATAAAAAAAATATTTTTGCCAGGCGCAGGTTGCTCATTCCTGTAATCCTAGCTACTCAGGAGGCTGAGATCTGAGGATCACGGTTCAAAGCCAGCCTGGGTAACAAAGTCTGTGAGATTCTTATCTCCAATCAACCACCAGAAAACCAGAAGTGGTGCTGTGATTTAAGTGGTTGCTAGCCTTGAGCTAAGAGCTCAGGGACAGTGCCCAGGCCCAGAGTTCAAGCCCCATGAACAAAAAAAATATAAATATTTTAAGAAAACATTTATATGACCTTTGGGATGATATAACACATAAAAACTAAAAAAGTGGGCTTGGAAGGTGGCTCAGTGGTAGAGCACTTGCCTTGCATGCATGAGGCCCTGGGTTCGATTCCCCAGCACCACATAAACAAAAAGAAAAAAAGCCGGAAGTGGCGCTGTGGCTCAAGTGGTAGAACACTAGCCTTGAACTGAAGAGCTGAGGGACAGTGCCCAGGCTCAGAGTGCAGGCCCCATGACTGGCCAAAAAAAAAAAAAAAAAAACTAAAAAAGTAAGAACAAATAGTGGCTATATTCATGTTAAGAACTTCTGTTTATCAAATATAAAGCAAGTGATGAAATAAACCAAATAATAGTATTGCCAAAACATGTATACTGGAGGAGGCTACAATGCTTGATGAGAAATGTGCTCATCATCTTGCCCACGTAATTGTAACCCTTCTGTACAGTATTTTCACAATTAAAAATAAATAAAAAAAAGCATGTATACTGACAAAAGATTAGTATCTTCAATATGTAGGACTAGAGAAGATAAAAAAGCTACTAGGTAAAAGTAAACACAAATAATGCATAACTACATTAAAAGATATACAACCTCACTAGTAATTGGTAAATATCAATGCAATAAGATATCTTACATCAGTGCTAAAGAGTAGTCACAGGCCTGATGCATTCTGCAACCAAATAAATATTATACCGACACATAAACCCTATTTCTAAAAATACTGTTTAATGCAGCTGACAATATTTTAATTCACAAAACTTTCTCAACCAAGGAAGGTGTATTATGATTTACTGTAGACAGGTAAGTTTATAGATTAGATAATATAAGTAATACTGTTTTACACACATCAGATTGGTAACCTTTAGAAAAAGTCACTGAGAGCTGGGTATCGGAGGTTCATGCATGAACTTTTAGCTACTCAGGAGGCTGAAGCCTGAAGATCTCAGTCTAAGGCCAACTCAAGTAGAAAAGTCCTCGAGACTTTTATCTCCAATTAACCAGCAAAAAATCAAGTGGAAATGTGGTAGAGTGCTAGCCCTATGATCTAGAAAACTAACAAGAGTGCAACGCCTTGAGTTCAAGCCCCAGACCCAGAATGCAGGTACACGTGCATGTGCACACATCTGCACAAACACACACACAGAGCACTGATAATGTCAAGTAGGTGCAAATTATATACACTCCATCAACTGGCTATCATTTTGGAAAACATTACAGCTTTGCCCAATGAAGCTGAAATTCCACTCCTACATAAGTATGTGCTGACGGACTGTCCAACAATATTGACATTGTTTCTAATAGGAAAACTACAGAAGAGAACCCAAACATTGATCAACAATAGACTGGATTCATATGTGGTCTATTCTTACTTTTTTTTAAGTATACAACTGGAAAAATAACTCTGCTACACAAATGTTTTGAGATAAAAAATAAAAGTGGCAGAATCACTATTTAGAATTTACAGTGGTGAGAACTGAATACTAATTTTTCAGCAGAAATTCTTCAAATTGTTAAGAGTAAAAGAAAGCAAATTACAAAGATATCATTATTTAGGTAGCACTAGACCATGATCTCTCTATTTTCAACGTGTCTGTGTGTATTATACTCATTCAACCATTCTCAAATTTACTGAGTCAACACTCATTATTTAAAGCCCTACCCCCACACATATAACTTGGCAAGGAGATGGAAACTACTCCATTCTTGTTAGCTTATTCTTTTGAAATTGTTATGAAAGGTTAGTGATCCTCAGGTATTAGTCCTAAACTGGCTACCCTAATCTAGATCCATTTAGCATTCACCTTCTCTTAACACCACCAACACACACCAGGCCACCATCATCTACTACTACTTTTGTTCCTCCCTATTCCTTTTTTCACCTATGATGGAATGGAAATGGAAATCACATCATGTCACTTGTATAGCTTATCCCAAGCTCTTTGAATGTACACTCTTTCCAGAGTACTCCATGAGCTACTTTTAACCTATGCATTGATTGAGCTTGATCTAATGGCATTTCACATGCTCACCAGGCTTCAAATACATCACCTATTTTCAGTTACCTGGGCATACATGGTTGCTTTGTTATATTCATATACAACCTCCCTTCCATCTGTGACATTCTACTTCACTACCCATCCTTCACACAGCTAATTCATAATCATCTAGTCACATTTCAAGTACTCTATTTAAACTTTACTTCTTCAGAACACTTTAGTGAAGACTCAGAATAAATGAGATTCATCACATACATGTACAGTAGCTCAAAATGCTCCCTATTAGCAGTAAGGACACTTGTAATTAAAGAAGTAATTGTCTAGCCAGGCGAAGGTGGCTCATGCCTGTAATCCTAGCTACTCAAGAGGCTGAGATCTGAGGATGACAGTTCAAAGCCAGCCTGGGCAGGAAAGTCCATGAGACTCTTATCTCCAATAAACCATCAGAAACAGAAGTTGTACTGTGGCTCAAGTGGCAGAACACTAGCCTTGAGCTGAAGAGCTGAATGACAGTGAGAGGAGGAGGAGGAGGAAGAAGAGAAGGAGGAGGAGGAGGAGGAGGAGCAGGAGGAAAAAGAAGGAGGAAAAAGGAGGAGGAAAAAGAAGAGGAGGAGGAAAAAAAGGAGGTGGAGGAAGAAGAGGAAAAAGAGGAGGAGGAGGAGAAAGTGGAGGAGGAAAAAGAAGAGGAGGAGGAGGAGGAGAAGGAAGAGGAGGAGAAGATTGTCTAATTAATGTCTGTTCCTCAATAGATGATAAGTACCATGAGAAGAAAATGTGTACAGGTTATTCACCATAATATTTACATGCCAAGAATGTAAATCCATTGAATGAACAAATTAGATTAAAACTTCGATTCAAACTACTTGAAATATCCACTACATTGGGGCTGGGAAGGTGACTCAGTGGTAGAATGCTTGCCTTGCATGCATGAGGCCCTGGGTTCGATTCCTCAGCACTACACAAGCAGAAAAAGCCAGAAGTGGTGCTGTGGTTCAAGTGGTAGAGCGCTAGCCTTGAGCTGAAAAGTTGAGGGACAGTGCCCAGGCCCAGCGTTCAGGCCCAAGACCAACTAAATAAATAAATAAATAAAGGCTTTGGGGCTGGGAAGGTGGCTCAGTGGTAGAGCGCTTGCCTTGCATGCCTGAGGCCCTGGGTTCGATTCCTCAGCACCACATAAGCAGAAAAAAAGCCAGAAGTGGCACTGTGGCTCAAGTGGTAAAGTGCCAGTCTTGAGCTCTTTGCTGAGGGACAGCGCCCAGGCCCAGAGTTAAGGCCCCACGACCAGATCCCCCCTCCCCCCCAAAAAAAATCCACTATAATACACTGAAGGGGAGCAGGGGGTGTGCATGTGCGTGTGTGTATGTTTCCAAAAAGTTTTATTGGGACATAGCTAGCTCATTTGTTTATATTACCATCTGCAGCAGCTTTCACACTACTGTGGCAGAGCCGAGTAGCTTTGAAGAGATTTGTGGCTGGTCAATCTAAAGTACATGCTAGCTGGCTCTCTGAAGAAAGTGTTTTCTGCACATGCTTACTGTCTAGTAGTGCTGAACTCAGAGTTTAGATGTAGATTATTTAGTCATTGAACACATCCAGAACAACACACCTAAAAAGTACCAAATGTAGAGACCTTGGGGCCAGATTAACTCATCATAAACCATACTGAAAAGGTACAAACTGTTCCTAAAGTCAATAACTGTTATTAAAAAGTAACCAATGATTCCTAAGCCAGACAAACTGTACCTTGCACACACATTAAAAAAAAACACCTAACAGAGGAAAGTGAAGAAACACTAGGATCATGGTTCAAAACAAGCCCCGGCAAAAATTTGTCTATGAAACGCCATCTCCAAAATAACCCGTAAAAATAAGCAGCCACCACACCACCATCACCACCACCACCACCATCATCACCATCATCATCACCACCATCACCACC